GCGACTTTAGCTTCAACTCCGTTTCGTGTGAATATGTATTAGCTTCATTCCGACTAATTGGCAGTGGCACAGAAGAGTCTCCTTCCTCCGACAATGCGAGCATCCGAAGGCCTCTTATCGGCAGACAAGTCTATTCAGAGGGTCTGCCTCCCCCTGCCACGCCTCCACGCGGGTTGACTCGTGTGTCAATAATGTCAAATGGAATGTCAACAGGCACATGGCCACGCGTCAGGCCCCCATGGCCCATCCCAACTATGTGTACGGGCATATTCCACCGACCTCAGGCGATCCGAGCGATCCAGCGACGCGTCGGCGAGTCTTCAGTTTCAGAGTTCTCTTGAGTTTAGTTTCGGTTCATATCGGATCGGATCGGCTCGGGTCTCTCTCTCTCTCTCTCTCTCTCTCTCTCTCTCTCTCTTTCTCTCATTAACATAACAAGTAAAGTCAACAATGAAAATTGTTGTCTAAACAAGACGCGAGCGGTCGCAACGTTTCAATAAACGTCTGTCCGTACGTTCGTTGCAGCAGCGCTGCAGAATTTATTGAGGCTGTGGTAAATATTCGGGGCTCGTTCAAAAGAAATCAAACAAGTAATTTGTTTATTTGGCCAGGGCAATAAAATGAGTAAGCGGCAAGAGAAAGCAGTGCCGCTCTCTGCACTGCAATGCGAGAGAGAGAGGGAGGGAGAGTACACTGTGGAGACACCGCTCTGTGGATTGGGATCGACAAAAGACCCGAGGGCACAGGCGCCCCATCGACTAAGTTGAAAAGGGGAGGGGGGGAGGGCTATCGACTAAGTTGAAAAAGGGGAAGGGGGGGAGGGCGAGACCCACTATAGCCTTAAGATCAGTGCGGAATGGAAAGACTGCAGCAGAAAACTCAAGATTTCGCAACGATCATCAACGTTTCTTTTTTACAATCGTGATGCATCTCTCGTAGTTTGATATCCCTTCTTTATCGTCTTGTATTTTCCTTTATAAAACTTTTCAAACTTCCTTATTTCCTTCCTCTCTTAATATGATGTCTTTGAACGATTCTCATCATTTGGATCTAAACGATTCATTTTCCCCATTGATTTACAATAGCTCAATCTCAAAATTTCGTAACCTTCGTGATCGCTGATCGCTCATCCACTAAACACAAGATCATTCATCTGCTGACCTTGGCATCGACATCGACAATCAGCTGAATATTGGCTCTGACTATCTCTGATCTCTGATGCATGTAGATTTTGTGCGGATTTCTGATTGATTTATAACGATTACCATACTAATTGCTTGTTCACGATCACTTTATGGCTTCTATACGTACTGGGGGATCACGAACCGAAACCGAAACCGATTCACAGGCGGCGATCCATGAGAATGAGGAGACCAGACCATCTGAATCGTATTACGAATGACAAACGATTCATTTCATATGCACATGTGTACGAACCAATGCTGAAAGATCAGTCCAAGAGATTTATCTCCTATTTGGGGCCAGGTAGTCGTTCATGGATCACGTCTGCCTCGGTGCAACAGAAAACTTATTAGGAGAATCGTGTGTATCTGCGCTTCTGCAGGGCGCGATACTGCGATACTTGTAGTTTCATAGAATTTCTATAGAGACAAAAAAGATGGATAGATAGGCCGAAGAGGTGGCCATGTCCGATGCTGACAAATCGCCTGTAATAAGTCAAAATGTGTTGCCACTTCTGCTCACCGTAGGAATCAGAATCACAATCGTAGTCGTAGTCGGAGTCGGAGTCTTCCCTGAACTGAGAATTGGACCCCTGCTTATTGATGGCCTGACAGTCGGCGTACCTTCCTTTGGTTCGGTTAGGTTCGGTTCGGTTCGGTTCGGTTCTCTCTCATGCGGTACTTTCACTTTCCCCTTGCCCATGTCCAGCATTTCTCCTTTCTAATGAGGATCCTTTACTTTTACCTGCCCTAAACACAACAAATTAGTGGGAAATCTCAGCCAAATCGATTTGATATCGACTTCGCGTTGAATGTTCTTTCTGTTTAGTGCATGGAGTGGACTAACAAATGAGCTACGGGCTCGGAAATTGATCTGGGTCTGAGTCTCGGAGTCTGGTTCATGAGTCAAAGGCGTGCTACCTATGCCCATCCATCCATCGGAATATTGTATCCCCTCCGTTCGAGTACGAGTACGGGTATATCCTCGTTTTGTCTGTGTTGTGGTCGCTTGTTTATCTGACGCTGGTGGTCCCCCGGTTCGCCTTTGCATCAAATTTTGATTTATCTTTCGGATGCACCTTTGTCTTCCTCTCATTCCCATTTGCCTGCTGTTGCTGCTGCTGCTGCTGATGGTGGGTCTAAATATAGGCTGTTGTGGCTGGCGGTGTTCACACCTTCTGGCCACAACAACTAACTAGCAAACAGACAGCGACAAATTCGTTACAAGTCCCACAGTTGGAGGCAGCGCAGGAGTCGGAGTTGGAGGCATCCTTGTGGCTGCTTTGTTTAACAGCAAAATGCAATAATTGTAGAAGTGGGAAAACCACTGTTGTGGTGCGTTGACCGGCTGCTGCTGCACCTTCTCGTATTGACAACAATCCACTTGGTGGATTCTGTCTGCAATGTGTAGACATTCTTATTGTAGAGGGAAAGCTGATCCTATAGCTGGGATCCAGAGAATGTCATCCCCAAAACAGAGATGTTTCCGAGGACATTTCGATACGCCTGAAAGTTGATTCCTTTTTGGTGGTGTTTCCCACTCCATCTCCATCTCAATTTACATGGGCATCTCTTAGCCAATCCTTTGGGGGGTGGCACGGCTCAATCTGAATGCTTTACGCCCCATATGCCACGTGCGTCGTCCTTCTCCGTCGTCGTCGCAGAACACAAAAGTCATTTTAAAATTTAAGAAGACACACACCCGAAACAAACAACAAACAAAAAAAAAAAAACACCAAGGAGAAAAAGAAAAACCAAGTCAAATTCCTGGTATAAAATTCATTGAAAAATTTTATGCAACATAAATTTTGCGTGCAGGATTTGCCTGGCCATCGACCAGGACAAGGACAACCGCAAGGATATCGGGGGACGGAGAGACTCAATCACATGCAAGTGGACCGGCAGCGGGTGTGTGTATCATTTCAATTTTAAAACCAAACGAGCGTCGACCCGGCGACCCTTCCCCCAGCCCCGGCCACGGACTCAGGCTCAAGCATCGAGCGTGCACAAACAAAAAGGAAGCAGGACGTGGACTAGGATTTACCCGGTATTCAGTTCTTCTAGTGATGGTATACACATTCTTTTAATTGTGCGCCACTATAGCAAGTATCTGACACCATATCTTTAAATATATAGTTACTATGCAGATACTAAAATGATTCGTACCGAATTTTGTCTTCAACATCCGAGTCTAAATACTGACAAACAGATATACGAATCTCTACTGTTCATACTGCTCTATACGAAAACCATAGACCCCTCGTGCTCTACCATTAAAAGGTACCAGAAAAACACACACAAAAACCCGCCCCCAGAAACCGCTTAAGAAGGAATGCCGCCTGCTAACGGCACACGGCACACGGCAGGACCTTCGACGACAACGGGACATTGGGTCTCCGTGTCCTTGTGCCTGGCGCCTGGTCCTTGTCCGTTTCTCGGTTTTGGTTTGGTTTTTTTTCTTTGGTCGTTTGTCGGTTTTTATGGCTTTTTGATTTGCCATTTCTGGTAGCAAATGATCAAAAATTGAATGAAATTGTTATTTTCAAGTGGAACATGTCCTTTTTACAACCAAAAGAAAAAACTTTTCAAGATTGAGGGCTTCGACGTCGCCGCCCCGCCCTCTCCACCTCTCGCCGGCCGGGTTTTGTTGCGGGTTGTTAGCCTTAATAAGAGGCATCATCTGTCAGTGGAGAGGGCGGAGGAGGAGAAGCGACTTGAGGATGGGTGTCGGTGTCGGTGTCGGTGTCGGTGTGGGATGCCTCTCTCCACGAGACACGACAGATCGTGAGACATTCGGCATTTAAATCTTCATTTCCATATCCATTGTCGTTTCATTTGAAAATTGAAAAATTTCCAAGCGATAAAATTTTATCATACCCATTGCCAAGACACACACACATCCCAAATGTCCCCGAAAGGAGTCACGAGTCCTCCTTCCTCGTGCGTGTTGCGTTCTGCCAGGTGCTGACTGGCTGCTCACTGGATCCTTGGAAATGGCCATGGCCATGGCAATGACAATGAAATGCTCGAGCTTCAGCTTCAGCTTCAGCCCCGAGACTGGGACCGAAAACAATTAAAATATTTGCTTAAATTACATTTACACATTTACTCTCATATGGCGATGCGATGCGATGGAGGTGGAGTGGGGGTCTAGACATCAGATGGAGATGGGTTTCGTTCCCATTTCTGTACCCATTTCTAGCCCCCTGCATTACCATTACCCACCCCCCACCAAAAGTGAGGCTGCACAATGTTAATTATGAATTTATGATCCAATATTTATTGGCAATAAGCCCCAGCAGGCACCAAAAGAACTAACTTAACCACTGACCAACCCCCGCACCGGATGTGGATGTGGACGCCACTGATGCGTCGCTAATGAACTTTTGTCATCATCCCAGGCACAAAGCCTTGGCCAGAACCACAATCAGATATACGTAAAACGTACATGCCACACATGGCGACACTCGTGCGGCTTTACGTGCGGCTGGTGGGGGATGTGAAGTGGTGCAAGCATTCGGGGATTCAATCCGACTTGAACTTGCTGCAAATCGACCGAAATTTGTTGCCAGTAGGGTTATATACGTATATGATGGTTATACATAACATAAGAAAAAAAGATGATTAATAAATAAATAAATAATTAGCAATTAATAATGGCTCCACTAAAACTCTTCCAAGATCACTAGAAGTCCTGATTTCATAGTTCATTTCATATTTAGTAGCGGATGTATATATATACGTAATTTGCCGGTGCTGTTTGTCTTTCAAACTCTTCTCAAAGGTATTTCTTTTCTAATATCAAAACGATTCCTATTTTGTATCTAAAACTGGGCTGCTAATATGGCAACAATTTTGTTTAAAATTTTGATTACTATTTTGGCTACTCAACTGAATTCTACTCTCCGAATCAGGACTACATATAGCGAGAGATTTGAGCAATGGTAAAGAAAATAAAATCGGGCCCGTCATTCATTCCCATGAAAGGATCGTTGGCACCACCGCCATGGCCATGGTCAAGTGGCTGCTGCTCCATGTCCACTTCCGGGATGACCGGCAGGTCCATGTCCACATCCATTTCTGGGAAATTGATGGGGGTATTGGGGGCTGTTGGTGCCGGCTCGGGGGTATTGAGCGATTCCGAGCGATCATCGTCATCGTGCATCATCATATTCGGCTGAGGAGACAGCAGCTCCTCATCGGTATCCCCAAACAGCATCTGGAAGGTGGCATAGCCGAACTCCTCGTCAGTGAAGGTGCGTGTGGCCACGCTCACGGAGATGGGGCCATGGGGTATCTCACGTACACCTTCGTTGCTGTTATCCAACTCGAAGGCGAAATGGGAGACGAGCTCGGAGCCGGCACCAGCCTGAGCGGCCTCCGACGCAATTTCTGTGAAACAAACAGAATTTGAGTACCCACGAAATCGAGTGTGCTATTATCAAGAATGACAAACGTATACTATTGATTATAGAATGTTCATAAGAGAGCATAAATCAATAAAAATTACAACGAACTTACAGTAAAAGTTTACGTATCGAATTAATTGTTATATTCCGATGAAAATACGCTATGCGAGTAGTTCTAGGCATTCGATTGCCTGGGCTTACTTATCGAGTACCATCTATTGAGGTTGAATGAATGTGTCGGGTGTCGTGTGTCGGGTCAGGGGTTGATCGAACCACTTGAGGGCGATCCAACCTTTAATGGCTCCCGTTTGAGGTTCGCGCTCCCCGAATCTTTTTATGGCATTCCGGTCGCATTGGCTGTCCGTCCGTCTGCTGGTCTGTTGGTCTGTCCGCCATTTGGTGGATTTTTCGAGGATGGTCGGTCTTGTTTGGCCATGTTTTATGTGTTTCGTTTCCATTGAAAACCCCAAAGAGCCGAGAGAAAAAGCAACAGAAATTATTTGTAAACGGCGGCTGTGACAATTTTTGTCTTTGCGGCGCGGTTCCGTGGAAGTTGCTCCGCCAGAGCCACTAAAAACAAACAACAAATACACACCGGCGGAAAAAATTAATTGGAAATTTTTATGTCTCAAACATGTTGTAAGCGCAGAGCGGCAGAGTGTCAGCAGCAACTACAACAGCAAGTTCGAGGTTAATTGTTTGATTTTCTAACAAAAAATATAAATAATTTTTAAGGCCAATCTCATGAGAGAGCGCTACCTGAGAGACAGACCCGAGCTCTGGCCACAGGAAATGTTTGGATTGTTTTCTGGTTTCGGTTTTCGGTTCTCTGTGGTATTTTTTCTGTTTCAATCGCTGTTTAGATTTCGTTTTCGGCTTCGGTTTCTGCCTTTGTGCCCACTTTGTTCCTCATTTTTTTCCAGCTTATTTATATGACAGCTTCTGTTACACATTTCTCGAAAGTGAGCTTTCCGTAGAGTGTAAACATAAATTGGCGATTTATGATTGCCGCCATGCGAAAGCATAATAGGAGGGACCACGCCCAGCCCTGTAGGGGTGACCCCATCCATTGCGGGGGCCCCCGTGCAAAGATGATCCATGAATAGGGGATTAATATTCAGAGACGACTTTTATAAGAAATAACCTTGCCGGTGTTAACTGGTGTAGACCACTCAAAGATTTCCCATGAACCGATGACCCATCTAGACCATTCAGAGAGGACCTATTCTAAGGTAACCCTTTAAAAGCAGGCGACATCCGTCCAATGATGAACCATCCTGAAAAGTGCTAATGAAAAGGGATCCTGTACATAGAGGGAGCTTTTTCTAAGGATCATCTCATCCTAGGCGACCCATGCAAATGTTACCCTTCAGTGGATGGAGCCATTCAAAACACTGATGACACCAATACAGAGCAGAACTAGCAGTGAAGATGTGACACAACAGCGATGAACCATTTATAGATAACTCATTTTTGAGATAATCATTGATGGTTGACCTTTCCATAGGAATGCAAAAAATAGATGACCCATCCACAGCCGACTTATCTAACGATGACCCATGCAAATGCTTTACATTCAGAGGTGACCCATACCACTGCGAGACCACACTCACCATTTATGTTATCCATCAGATGCTAAAATCGATCTTCGTTTATACGTCAAATCTCTTAGCTAGCCACTCCACTTATTTCACTGCACTTAAAGCTGCAATATGTAGCTGCACGATGGATAATGACAGCCGATGCACTAGATATAATATCTCTGCTATAGATTCCAGTTCCTCTGGGAAGATTACCCAGCTTCGGTTGTTCGGCTGTTTGTTTGTTCGATTCCAAACGATGTACTCATAACCGCGCTCATTATCGGCCAATAGATCGATAATTGGAGCTAAAACCGTTAGATTTCGCCCTGGGGAGTCGCTCTTGCAGCCCTGTCCCTGTCCCTGGTTGCTCCAGTTCGATAGCGATAACAGCCGTCATTGATCGGGTTATCGTTCGTCAATCAGAGCCCCACACAGCTGGGCAATTGATCAGTCAACCATTGTCGTGACAGTGCCACAAACTCGCGAGCTTCGAACAGTAGCAGATGGGAAATACTATGGAAAATGCAAGTGCAGCAAACTCCTACTCCAATTCTAGCTCCAAATTGTGTTTACGTCTTTAGTCATTGGGGGCGCCCGTTGCCGAGTTTCGATGCGCCAAGCGAAAATAAATAAAAGAAAACGAGCCCTCCGGTAGCCGGGACTTCAAGTGTTCGATTTTGTAGTGAAATTCAGGAATATCGGGCTCCTTCTGGACTTTGGCCGAGTGTTAGAAATTCCATTTGGACAGGCGATGGCGCCACAAGTGACACACCCGTCCCGTCGTTGTTGTCCGTGGATCTGCGACAAGATCTGTTCCCTGCCTTGTCCGTTGTCTGAAGCAGACGCCACGTGCGCTGCAGAAGGGGTGGTGCAGCGGCAGGAGCAGGTTAGCGACTGGTGGCGTCTACGATTTCCTGTCGCAGGTTAAATGTTTCCCGAGACTCGATTCCCACCTCCGCTCCCTAGAACCCTACACCAGAAGGCGACGAATACTCGATAGTTGAGCAGACTGATCAAACAGTTTTATCTACTTTGCATAACGACAATGCGCTTTTAGAGTTTTTCTGGGGTCCATCGATTGTTCCATCAGTTAGAAATTACACTCTTTGAATGTCAAAGTGAAATTTATACGCATAATGATTACATTTTCTCTTTGTTGCAAGCGCGCTTTGAAGGGACACTAATTAAAAGTGAGTATAAGTCCTGCATTTGGGCTGACAACTGACTGACATCCGCCATACGATTCGTAGATTCTTTGCAGATGCCGAGTGACGAGCCTCTAGAGCTGGAGGCCCTTGCTAGCACCCTTCAAGCCAGGTATGTCCAAAGAGTCCACGGGATTGTAGGGCTCGATCGTTTTGTGCGTAGCGCATCGTCTTTTGTGAATGACTGGGACTCGGACGCCGAGTCGGACTTGGTTTTTGGTCAGCCAAAGACCAAGTCGGTTGTTTCGGATTGTTTATTTAACTTGCGTCTCTTCCGGCTGACTGCTTCTCCTCCTTCTCCTTCTCCTTCTGTTGATGCTGCTGATGCTGGCTGGCTTTATGGTTATGGATACAGTAGCCGGTAGTTGCCTCCGAGTCGGACTCGGCCTCGGAGTTGCCACAGGGAGATCGTTCGCAGCGGAGCGGGAGAGAGCGAGAGCAACAGTAGCAATGAATTTGCATGTACTACATGAAAACCGTGATCTCCAATTTGTTGTTGCTGCCTGTTGGCTCTGTTGCCTCCGATTCTGCTCTCCCCCCGCCTCCCCCCATGATGATGCTGACTCCTGCCACAGACTCGCATCGGATGGCATGGCATGGGGATGGGGATGGGAATGGGAATGGGGATGGAGTTGGGGATGGCTTGGCATGGCGTTGCTTCGAATTGGTTACAGGGCCTGCCGTACTTAGCTACATGCCAAAAAGTTTTGTAACATTATTTTAAGGTGCCTGCCTTCCACCAATTGCTGCTGCCTCCTGGTCGGTGCCTTCATGGAGCCTCCCGTTGCAAAGTTGCAAGTTGTCAAGCTTGCCATGGCAAATTTGCGATCAAGCGACAACAACAGTGACAACAAGAGCCGGTGACGGGACGCCCAACGTCCCACCGTCCCACCGTCCCAACGCCCCGATGTCCCCCATGGCCATTTCTATATGCATCCAAATCCAACACACACTCGCACTGTGTGATCTGTGAGCCAGGCTTCTTGGGTTTCAGCGCTGTACATCACGTCGCCTTGTACGCCACGTACCGTACCTCTACCCAGTGCACACCCCACTCCATCCTCCCCCCAGCAAGTATTCGCCTGGAGCTTGAGCTGGCCCTGGGCCTGGCTTTAGGTCTCGGCCAGAGTCGCGTCTGAACTTTATTGACCATATTGATTGCTGCTGTATTGATCGCTTGTAGCTGATAACCAACAAATGGTCGGGCCATGGCGCACAGTGGGACGCTGTGACACACCATGCGAGAAATTTGCTCACAGCTCACAGACAGCGCTGCTTGCTTTATGATGATGAGCGGATGAGCAGCTCCGCCAGCGATCTGTTCGGTTTATGCGGAAAGATTTTTGATTCAGGAACTTTGTGGATGGGACTTCTTTATATGTACATCGCTAAGCGGGCTTAACTGTTATTATTCTAAGAGGAATCCTTTAAAGAACTGATTCACTTAAACGATCTCTGAGCTAACTTTGGCTTCTGATGAGTCGTATTCTGTCGTATTCGAAATTTAATGAACATCTTTATAGACTCCCTTCCGTCTCCATGTATTTTTAAGCTAGCTACATTGCCGGATACAATCGCTTATTATATGTCGAAAGCTCTTTAACTTTATTACCGCATGAACGTAGACCGCATCTAGTGCTGGCTACCGACCTGGTCCGAAGCCAGCGGGCGGTGCCAGAGCGCGACTCTGCGAATCTCTCAGGCTCTCAGGGACTCCAGGGGTACTCTACCTGTGAGACGCTGAGACTCTGTCTCTGGGCACGCTGCATATTCATAATTTCCAGTTGTGGGATTTATCAATTGCACATCTCAGTCATGAAAACGCATAAACATTTCAAAATGCCTGGCGCGGGTCAATAATTTGACATGAACGAAACAATATGCAGACACGTTCCCAGCGGGCTGGGGCAGGGGCAGATGGAAGACAAGGGAATGTCCAGCGGAGTCTGGCATAGCTTTGCTTATTTTTGCTGCCCCATTGATGATGTGTGAATAATTGAAAGCGGCAGCAGTTGCAGGTTGCCTGTTGCAGGTTGCTTGCAGCCTGTTTGCAGTGGCATATGCTCTGGAGGCGGCAGAGACAGGGAGACTTTCAAGCCTAGTGGCAGAGTTGTCTACCAACAACAGGCAAGCAAACACTGCAGCAAACCCTCGAGAGCCATCCCAGAGGGAGAGAAAAAGATAGAGAGATCAGAGAGGGAGAGGGAGAGAGAGAGAGAGGTAGAAAGGTAGAAAGGCTGCCCCCAAGGAGGGCCCTTGCCTTGCCATGGAATTCAATTTCGCTGTCGGCAGAGGGAGTTAGACATGCGCCCACACACCACACATATATTTGCAGTGTTTCTGATTTTCAGATCTTCAGTGTTTTTTTGAGTGCTCAAATACGCAGATACACAGAGATACAGATACAGATACCGCCCACATTTCGATTCCTAGCCCTGGCCTGCCATAAAATTTAAAATTTCGGAATTTTCTTCTTATTTTCTTTGGGGGTTTTCTTTCAGCTCTGCAGGTCTGCAGTTCTGCAATTTTGTAATTAATTTATTACTTCGCTCTGGCATGGGGCACGAAAAATTGTCGCGACTTTGCGATGTGTCAAAACTATTTTTAATTGGTGGCAGCCCCCGACAGACAGACAGACAGACCAGACCAGCCCAGACCAGACCATACCCTATCCCACTCAATCCCACAGATGACCCAAGTACTCGTACAAGAAGATCGTAAACTGGGAACGAGATCAAAGCGAGTGAAAGACTGCTAAAGGAGTTCACTTTCTATTTTCTGCGGATTTAATTGATATTTCGCGGCGTTGTGTCTGCTGCACTCCACATGACTAATGCCCTACTCAATAGACACTAAAGATGCATTACCCAGTCCTAAAAGAAAAAGCAAAAGCAAAACCAAAACCGATCCGATGCGATCCAAACCGATCTGTCTGCCCGGGGAGGGAGTTGTCCCTGAGCGGGAAGGGTGGTCTCCTCCGGGTCCACAATTGCATTTTAATGCAAATTTGGTGTCAACGCAATATCGACCATGACAGCATCCCAGGCATCAGCATCAGCCTCAGCCTTAGCCTCAGCCTCGGCCTCGAGCATCAGCATCACTCGTTGACGCTCACGCACTTTTCTCTTCATCTCCATCTCCATCTCCATCGGCTGCCTCTCTCTGATGGCCTGTTGCCCTCTCTTTCTGGTGTGTAAGTGGCGGCTGCTTGGTGTTAAAGTGACTGATTAAGTTTGTGCTGTGTTGCTGTTGCTGTTGCTGTTGCTTTTGGTGTTGCTGTGGCTCTTGGGCTGTTGTTGCTGCCTGACGCTAAACGAATTATACGCTTACGTAGGTGGCAGACACTCCGGCACACAGTCTGAGGCACAGCCAGAGAGCAGCAGGAGGAGGCACAAGCCACGAGGCACGAGGCAGCGGCAGGAGGCACAACCAGCGACCGATGCACTCGCACTCACACACCGCCATAGAAAGCGACAAATGAATTGAGACGCGCCACAAAAGTTATAAATATTGTCGCCTCGTCCCTAGGGGCGTCTCCATCGTCTAGTTGTTGCACCAGGGATCCTTGTGTGGGCGGGTGCGGTACCCTAGATGCGTATGCAAAAATATCAGAAGAACAACCAGGGGAGGAGAGCATCAGCGTCAGTCGCAGCCGACAGGCGAACGATGAGGCGACGAGAAGGTGCTGCTATCGAATGGTGCACATTCGCTTAAGAACTTAACCTTGCCTTGAACCCAAAACTAAATTACATTAATTTTAAAATACAAATTGACTTCACTAAAGAATTGGAAATATTTACTGGAAACAGCCACTTCTGTGTCTCACCTCATTTCATTGATCGGCTGGAAGAGTAGACTCGAATTTGGTTATTCTTCAGACCACCTGACAAAAGAATTAGGAACTCCCAATATACAGCCCTATCTTTTATGATCCATGATCACAGGGGTACAGATGCAGATCGAAGTCGTTAATGGCTTGATATCGTAGACAGAAGCCGTATAATTTTGACAGCTCAAGTGGCGTCACCTCTTTCTCTTCCATATCCAATTCCAATCCCATTCTCATTCCCATATTTACCATGACATCTAATAAAGTCGTAAAAAGATCTGCACACACTCGTAAAAGTTTTGGGATTTATGGCCGCCGCCTCACCGGTCGAGGTCAGGCACATTTAATGGCGCCCCGACTGAGAGAGGCGAGGCGAGGCGGCTACTGTCTGGAGGATCATCATGCCGGATTCCGGATGGGTTATGCCCCGTATCGATTGCGATTGGGATTGTGAGTTGCACTTGCATAATTGAAACCTTCTCTTCGGTTTACGACGATCGTAAAGTGATGGGCTACTGGTTCCCATTGCTGTCTATCTTCTGTCGGTAGCTACCTGTTCGATGAATCCCATTGAGGGAAATGGGCAGTGTCGATGCTTATCGGTCTATCGGTGAAAGTTTTATGGCTTGTTACGGTCGTAACTGAGTTTGGACTTTACTTTAATGCCCTGCGATGCTATCTAATCTTCAGAGGGGTAGGGATCCGATGAATCTTCCTCTGACCTGTACAGTGTACACTTCCAATGAGTTGGTTTATAGAGATCTTAATACAACTTCATCGATTGATGGCTTACCACCCAATATATTGATTGAGGGAAAAGAAATGTCAATCTCTCCTCATTCGAGTGCTTGACTTCCTCAATGGAGATGAAAGCACACACCATCCCATCTGCGGCTCGACCATTGTCATCGAATGCGAATATCCCGGGCCTGGCTCAAAGCGATTCAATATCTTCCCCATAGTTGGGCCCGTCGTTTCCTATTGCCCAATCTTTTATTGCTTCCTGTCTCGCTTTCTGGGACAACCTGCTGCTCCTTTCTTCTATGCTTCTATCGGCCCGTTCTTCCTTTTCCTTTTTCATTTTATTTTTTGCCTCGAATCGCATTTCAAAAGGCAACTTAATCGAGCAAAATAAACCGTTTTCATATGCTCGAATTGAGGCAAACACGTCGCATTACACGGCGACGCAGAGGAGAGGACGAGGACGAGGACGGGGTAGCTGATTGTTGTCATTGGGTTCGGTTCGGTTCTTTGGGGAATTTCTGGGGCCCTCGGGGGCACGG